GATAGAATCTCTAGTTATTGATATCGAACATTTCTCATCATCAGTAAACACATTGCAGAAATATTGATGCCATTCTTTGAATTTTTTTCTTTGTCTACCTTAACACCAAATACTGGCAAGGCTGATAACACCAAACTATACACTTCTGCATCTTAAAATCTAGAATGCATGTCAATAAAGCCAGGATTTTGTCTTCTGCAAAAAACAACTCTATTTCCCTTACTTTTTTCATTCTGGTAGAGTTTTTTCCTACATCCTTGCTGGAACAAAAACAATTTTTAAGACTTTAAGTTGGAAGAAGTGTTTAGACAGTCCGGAAATGTCATTGATATTCTTCACTATGTCTTATTATTCATTTTTCTCTTTATTATGTGATGATAATAGCTAACATTTATAAAGTGCTATATAATACCATGTGCTATGCAATATGCATTAGTTATCTTGTTTAATTTTTTTTATAGTAACTGATAAAATATCTTTATTTTCATCCTCATTTTACACATGCAGAAAACGAGAGTCTTGGAGATTAATAACACACCCGTGGTCATATAGTGGTGTGTCAAAATTCAAACCCAGCCCATTTGGCTCCAGAGCTCATATTCTCCCAGTGCCTCATTGCACTGTTTTCTAAAAAGTGCCATGAAACTGAAAGCTGATGATCATTTTCAATATCTCCATATTACTCCAAATCACCAACTGGTTTCTTGCTTTCAGGCGTGCTCCTCTCAAATTTATCCCATACGCAGCTACAATTTTTTTATTTGCTGAAAATAAAACCTACTCATATTATTTCCTGACTCAAACCTTTCACAGCTTTTGCATCCCCTGTAGAACAAAATCTAAATGCCTTAGCCCAGCATCCTAGAGCTTCTATGTTGGCAGGTCTCTGCCTCCTACCCTCACACACACACTACATGGTCTCTTATTTACTTTCTGAACACACAAGCTATTTTTTTCTGCATGAGCAGTTTTTCTCCCATGTTACTCCAAAGCCTCATTGCATCAGGAAAATATCTCCTATTTATCACCAAGAATCCTTCCTGTACCAAACACTCCTCTGAACCCCACCTTCTTCAATGGGTGAGGTGCCTTTTTCTGCACTAGCAGACTATCCCCTAGAATTTTATATATGACACTGTAATACAGTCATAATACAGCAGTCAGCCTCTCGCAATAGACCACAGGTTCTTTGAAGGCAAGATAGGCTTCATTCACTTTTAATATTACTTAAACATTGGATAATAAAGGAACAAGACCAATGCTGGGGAGTGGAAGAGCAATTCAGTGATTAGCCTGGCCCTTGAATAGTTCTCCATTACCATTTATCATTTTCAGTGCTTTTGATATTGGTCATTACTACTAAGAAAACTGAGTAGAAAGAGGGAAGCCCAGTAGCTCCACAACTCACCTAAGTCTGAGGCCTGCAGCTTCAAGGAGCTCACCAAGCTTCTTTTGTGTTTTCAGCTCCTGTGCTGTTTGCTATAGATGGGACAGATCCTAAAACTAATGGCATGAAGTGTATCAAAGCTGAGAGTTCTGGTCTCAAAATGGGACTAGGGGCTAGGAAACACATGGATCTAGGCACTGAGTAGCATTAATGAAACTCATCAATTGCATCATGGCTTCTTTAGAAAAATTTTAATTGAAAATATCCATGTTTTATTTCACATCATGGCCTTGCACGTAACAGCCAAGTCATAAATCTTAGTACAACAGACTTCCTGTTTTAATTCAAAGCAATCTGGTAAAAAACAAAATAGCCACATTTTTAACTAAAACAAGAAATTTGTTATTTTTCTCCCTCCAATTCTTTTTAGAATGAAGTATGATCTAATGCCACTCTCTACTTTTTAACAAACCTAATATTACTCATTTATTTCTTGGTCTCAACAAGTCATTTGCTTCAGTGTGTGACTTTTCCCAAAGAGAAGGTACCCATAACAGAACTGTCTTGATAATTAAAAATAAAGGTGAAGAAAGCAACTTTTAAACGTAAAACCCTGCTATTTTAAGTTCTTCATAGATATTGATGACAAATCATTCTGTAGACATAACCTCACTGACTTTAATTTTAATTTATTCATTTAACAAGCAAGTATTGAGTCCCTACATTATGTTACTTTAAAATAGATTGAAAGGCTTGTTGTTAAGGAACTTGTTAAATAATCTCCTGAGCTTGTTGACATATATAACTCCTGATTTATGTTGAATAAAGAGAATTCTTAAAACTGAAGTCTAGGGAGGAAAAGAAAAATCACAGAACATAAAACAATAGAGCTAGAAAGGGCAATAAAGACCATGCTAACTCAGCTGTCCTCAAGATCCCCAAGTCTGCAAGCTGAGTATGCCCTGATCTCATGGCAAAGATCTTCTAGCAAGAGAAGGCCAGGCTTTTTATCAAGCACTTTCATCATTTTTTTACAGTGAAATCCAAAATGTGAAATGTAGTCATATTAAAAAAATCAGTGGAAGAAGGTATTTAAGAGACTGATTTTTAAATAAATTGATTTTAAAATTAATCACTTTGTTAAATTACCCATCGTTCTCATGTCCTATTTGTGGAATAAGAAATGAAATGAAGATGTAGGCCATGTTGCCTGTGGAGGTTCTAGGGGAGAATCCTACTTTCTCTCTCTCAGCTTCTGGTGGCTGTGGGCATTCCCTGGCCTCCTTTGTTTGTTTGCCACACATCACTCTAACCTCTGCCTTGTCTTCACATCATCTTGCCCAATATGCATGTGTCTCAAATCTCCCACTGCCTTTCTCCTAGAGAGACACCTGCCATCGGATTTATTTATTTTATTTTTTTAAACTTATTTATTTATTTCCCTTTTTTTCCCCATTGGATTTAGAGCCAACCTGGATAATCTAGGATGACCTTCCGAGATAATGAAATTCATTATATTTGCAGAGACTCTTTTATCCAAATAAGGTAACAGTCATAGTTTCCAGAGATTTGCACAGGGATGTATTTTTGGGGGAGCCACTTTTCAACCCCCTTCATTGCTTTTTATGTTATTATCTGAAGTCTGTCCTACTCCCTAACACTTTCCCCTATCCCTATCAAATTTATATGTTTGGAGTCCTAATCCTGAGTACTCAGAATGTGACCTTATTTGAAAATAGAGTTGTGACAGATGCAATGAATTCAGATGAGGTCATTAGGGTAAGCCCTAATCCAATGTGACCGATGTCGTTATAAAAGGAGAAATTTGAACTTGGACACAGACACTCACACAGGGAGAACATCATGTGAGGATGAAGGCAAAGATTGGGGTTATGCTTCTACAAGCCAAGAAAAGCCAGGCATTACTCACCAGAAGAAAGGCATGAAATAGATTCTCCCTCACAGCCCTCAGAAAGAATGAACTCTGCTGACAATTCCATTCTAGACTTATAGCCTTAAGAATTCTGAGACAATACATTTCTGTAGTTTAAGCCACCCAGTCTGTGTACTTAGATATGACAGCGCTAGCAAACTAATACATTATCCATAAAGAAATATCATTTTTAATGGCAATAATCAAAATAAGATTTTGTAATCTATAATAATGTTGCATATTATCGATTAACACTCAATTGAACGTATGTGTTTTGTTGTCTACTTTATTAATAATGCTGTAGTAAACCTGTAACTTTGTCTATCTGGCATTTACCTTTTTGTTGGTTATTTCCTTTGGATCCATTCTAAGAAATGGGACTCCTTTACCAAAAGGTTCAGAACAGTAAAATAACAACAACAACAACAACGACAACAACAACAAACCGAAACAAAAAACTGAATGATTAAATATCTGACTTGGATATGTGTTGCTAAATTGCTTTCCAAAGAGTTGTAACAATTTACCTTCTACCTGCTATATGATAAGTGATTTCAACACTTTCTCACTAACATCTGGCAGCATCTTTTCAAGTACTGTCATACATATCCTGAGAACACATTTCGACTTATTCTTGAGTCGGGAGAGGGGTAACAAAGTATATTTATTTGGCCTTAACTTTTCCTTTCTCTGTTGCTTTCTGGCAGTCTGCAGGGGAAATTAGCCACAGAGTCTTTAGGCTGCATTTTCCTTAACACAATTAATTGAAGACAGTCCAGTAGAAGAGAATTCAAGATGAGTGTAATTTTTTTAATGAAAGAAAGAACTAATTTCATTAATTCTGATCTTCATGAATTAAATTTTATGTCTTTATCAGTATGTCAGTTGTTGTAATGAGGGGAATGAAGACAGCTCATAGGGCATATTTATTTGGGAATTTACTTTCCACCTTGTCCTAAGAATTCAGTTGGGTGTTGACCGGTTATCAGCACATCCTCGCTGAGGTCTATGACAGCTCCACTCTATTGCTTCTCCATCCCTCTGCAAGTCTTCCTTGATGATGGATCCAGTTTTCTGTTTAAAATGTAACAACGGCAAAACTAAATCGCCGCCAACAGCTATCAGGCTAAGAAACAAAACGTCTTCTTCTTTTTTTTAAGGGCTGCCTAATAAAGCTAGCCCGCCGCTGTCCCTTCAGCCCACATGTGATCCTTTCCAGTCTCCTATCCACGTTCCCACTCCCACCTGCACCCTACCCAGATAGATCCTGATTTCTGCTCTGCAAACTTGCGCATCAAGCCCCTCAGGGATTTTTAAAAGGACACTGCCCTGGGGGGTCATTGCGGGGCGCCTCCGCAGAGTTTGGAGCAGATGCAAGAGCATCCCTACCACGGGGTGTGCAGAACCAGAATGGGCAAGCTGAGTAAACGCGCAGTTTAGGCTGTTTTTTTTTTTTTTTTTTTTTCTGATGCGGGTGTGTGTGCAGTCGTGGGGGAGCAGGGGTGGGACGGAGCGGAGGAGATATGTCAACAAACCGTTCCCATCAAAACCTCTGACCCTTTGTGTGTGTGCTGAATGAATGGAGGGTCGGGATAGGCCTGCGCGGGCGCCCTGCCCTCGCGGCTGTCGCCCCTCCGCATGTAGGGTTCCCGCCAGCCCCTCGACCTCCTTCCGCCCAGAGGCTGCCGCCTGCTCCGCGCCGCACGCCGAGGCCTCGGCGGCAGCAGGAAAGGTCGGAAGGAGGGTGCTTTCTTCCCTTCTCACACCCAGTCTCCGAGCCAGATATTAGAGTGTCACGTTAGGGAGCCGAAAGACGAGAGCGGTTTTCTTGTAGCTGGAGTACTTCCCGTAGCCTCGGGGAAGGACCGGGATTTTGAGGAGCAAGAGTCGAACCCCAAGCCGAGCGGGAGAAGCAGGTATTGCAGGGGCCGCAGCCCAGCGGCTCGCAGAGCCCAAGGCTCGGGAGGCACAGAGTGGGCTGGGGTGGCCGGGGAC